GGGAAGGCAAAGATTACAGATGCCAAGGGAGATGACTACACCAAGGTCACTTTCAAACCAGACTTTGCCAAATTTGGCATGGACGGTATTGACGATGACTTCGAAGCCCTTGTGAAGCGCAGAGTCTATGATTTGGCGGGTACCGCCGAAGTTGCTGTCAAATTAAACGGCACACGTGTCCCAATTCGCAATTTCCGAAAGTACATGGAAATGTACACCAAAGCGATTCGCAAGGAGCGTGGCGATGATGGTCCTGCCTCAAAGGATGAAATTATTACATGCAGCCCCGATCCTCGTTGGGAGATTGGTTTTGCTGTTTCGGATGGTTCGTTCCAACAAGTCTCATTTGTCAACTCGATTGCGACAACCTCTGGCGGAACGCATGTCAACTACATCGCCGATCAGATCTGTACCCGCTTGGCTGACCAGGTGAAGAAGAAGAACAAGTCTGGAGCAACTCTGAAGTCGGCACAGATTCGGAACCACATCTTCATTTTTGTAAAGGCCTTGATTGTCAACCCGGCCTTCACCTCCCAGACCAAGGAGCAGTTGACGACGAAGGCGAGTCAGTTCGGTAGCAAGTGTCCTCTTGATGAAGATTTCTACAAGAAGGTCTTGAAGACCGAGGTCATGTCAAATATTCTGCACTTCGCGGAGCAAAAAGCCGATCAGATCTTGAAGAAGGGTGACACCGGCCGACGCACGCGTATGAACAACCCGAAGCTGGTCGACGCCAACAAAGCTGGTACCAGAGAGGGTCACCACTGCACCCTCATTCTGACTGAGGGTGAATCAGCCAAGGGATTGGCCATGGCAGGCAGAGCAGTTGTTGGACCAGACTTGTTTGGCGTGTTCCCCCTGCGCGGAAAACTTCTTAATGTCCGCGATGCTTCTTTTGATCAAATTTCAAAGAACGTGGAAATTCAAAGCATCAAAAACTTCATTGGTTTACAGCACAAGAAGGAGTATACCGAGACCAAGGGGCTGCGGTATGGCCATCTCATGATCATGACTGATCAGGATCACGACGGTAGTCACATTAAGGGTTTGCTCATCAATTTCCTCCAAGCACAGTTCCCCAGCTTGCTTAAGATTCCCGAGTTTCTCATTGAGTTCATCACTCCTATCATCAAGGTTTGGAAGGGTGACCCAAAGAATCCGACCAAGCAGAAGTCGTTCTTCACCATGCCCGAGTATGAAGAATGGCGTGAAGCTCACCAACACGAACGCGGCTGGGATCACAAGTACTACAAGGGTTTGGGAACCAGCACCACGGAAGATGCACAGGTCTATTTCCGCGATCTCGATCGTCATCTCAAGGAGTTCCACACTATGCAAGACGGTGAAGCTGGACTCATCGAACTAGCTTTCTCGAAAAAGAAGGCAGATGAGCGTAAAGAGTGGCTTCGTCAATACAAACCTGGCACATTCCTGGACCATTCAGTGGCAAAGATCACATACACCGACTTCATCAACAAGGAGCTCATCCTGTTCAGTATGGCGGATAATCAACGTTCGATTCCTTCCGTTGTCGATGGCTTAAAGCCAGGTCAGCGCAAGGTGCTTCACACCTGTTTCCGCCGCAATCTGAAGAAGGACATGAAGGTGGTTGAGCTGGCAGGACATGTATCCGGAACGACAGCCTACCACCACGGCGATGTCTCCCTTCAACAAACCATCGTTGGTCTTGCCCAGACCTTTGTTGGCTCCAACAACATCAACTGCCTGGAGCCTAGTGGAAACTTTGGTAGTCGACTTCAAGGTGGTGGCGATTGTGCCAGCGCTCGTTACATCTACACTCGCCTGTCCCCCTTTGCACGCAAGGTCTTCCATGCGGCCGATGAACCGCTTCTGACGTATAACGAAGACGATGGCAAGAAGATTGAGCCCGAGGTCTTTGTGCCTGTCGTCCCCATGATTTTGATCAACGGCGCCGACGGTATTGGAACTGGTTGGAGTTCTTCTATTCCCAACTACAATCCTGAGGATATTGTGAACAACCTCAAGCGACTGATGGCTGGCGAGCCTACTCAACCGATGCAGCCTTGGTTCCGTGGCTTCACCGGTGAGGTTGTGGCCATTGGCGGGGATCGATTCAAGTTCAGTGGTATCATCAGAGAATGTGGCGACAAGGAGGTCGAGATCACCGAATTGCCTATTCGAAGCTGGACACAGGATTTCAAGGACAAGCTCGAGGATATCATTAAAGCTGAGAAGGTGCCATCCTTTATCAAGGATTACAGGGACTACAATACTCACACAAAGGTCCACTTCATCATCCAACTGGATGAGAAACACATGAAGGTTGCTCTAACTGAAGGCCTGGAAGAAAAATTCAAGCTGACCAAGACGATCGGAACAACCAATCTGGTGGCTTTCGATCCCGAGGGCCGCATCACCAAGTACGCCACTGTCGATGACATTCTCAAGGAGTTCTTCGCCATCCGTCTCAAATATTATGAGCGACGCAAGCAGTTCCAGCTCAACGATCTACAGAGAGAGCTCGAGAAGCTGAGCAACCAGGCTCGCTTCGTGCAAATGATTATCGATGGCAAATTGGTTATCTCCAAGAAGAAAAAGCCTGTTCTAATCACCGAGCTGAAGGAGAAGGGCTTCAAACCAATTGCCAAGGTGGCCGAAGCAGCAAAGATGGGCGAAGCCGAGCCTGTGGTAGAAGAAGGAGAGGAGGAGGAGTCAGATGATGTTGACGCTGAAGTGCTATCCAGTTCATTCGACTATCTTCTGGGTATGCCTATGTGGTCGCTGACCCAAGAGCGGGTGGAGAAGCTCCGTCGCCAGATCGGCGAGAAGGAAACAGAGGTCGATACCCTAATTAAGCTTTCGAAGGAGGATATCTGGACCCACGATCTGGAAGAGTTTATCAACGAGTGGCGCTTCCAGCTCGAAGATGAGGATCGCCGAGCCCGTAAGGTGGCTAGCCTGGGCCGTCGCGTCTCGGCCAAGCTGGCCACTGGTGGTGGTCGTGCTGCGGCTTCACGCAAGCGTAAGGCTGCTAACGGCGATGATCCAGACGATGAAGACTTCGGGGGCCCCAAGACGAAGAAGACTGCCGCGGCCAAGAAGAAAGAGCCGAAAACAAACAGCTTGATGAATTTCCTCAGTCAATCTTCGAACAAACAAACTCCATCGCCTGCGGCAGATGGAACTGCTGACTCGGATGATGAATTCAACATGGACATGGAGATACTTCCAAAGAAGAGCCGTGCTACCTCAAAGCCTAAGACTCTACCTAAAGAAGAGGATGACTTTATTGACATTGACGACGTTCCCAAAACTTCGCGCGCATCAGCTCAGCCAGCTGAGGACGCCATAGATTCTGATGTGGATGAGGCGCCAAAGCCCAAACCAGCGGCCAAGGCAGCGGCCAAACCGGCCGCTAAACGGGGACCTAAGCCCAAGGCCAAGATCGAGGAGGACTCGGACGACGATTTCTTGGAGATTGCCAAGTCCGAGGCTTCCAAGCCAGCGGCGTCTTCTCGTGCTCGCAAACCTGTGAAGTACTCAGCACCTAGCGACTCTGACAGTGATAACGGTGATGATCTTCTTGGGGACGTTAGCATGATGGTCAAAGGCATTGGTGCTGACTCGGGCGTCGATTCTCGACAGCTCTTCTCTGAGCGCCCCCGCTCGGAAAGCAGTGCCAGCGTGAAGACTGCCGCGAAGTCTTCCAAGGTCATCGACGATTTTGATGCGGATGAGACTGACTATAGCAAGCTCATCCCTCAAAACTCCCCACGGCGCTCCATCCAGGTCAAACCCAAGGACGTCAAGCTTAACTCAAACGATGAAGACGATGAAGAGGACCAGCCAGTCAAGACAACTGCCCGGGCCAAGGCTGTACCCAAAGCCAAGGCTGCGCCAAAGACTGCTCCCAAGGTCGTAGAGCTCGATGATGAGGAGGAGGATGACGAGCCGATCAAGACAACTGCTCGGGGCAAAGCTGCACCGAAAGCCAAGGCTGCCCCGAAGGCCGCTGCCACCACAGCACCAAAGGCCCGTGGTCGCCCCAAGAAGGAGCCAGCTGCCAAGCCCGCCCCCAAGTCTGCTCCCCCAGCTTTGTCACCGGCGGCCAAGGCCTACGCTTCTAAGCAAGCCAAGAGCAAGAAGATTGCAGATGATTATTCGGAGGATGACATCGATGCAATGGCTAACGACATTTTGGATTCCCCGGCGGGTAAAATGAATGTAGATATCTCGGAGGACGAGGAAGAGCCCGCTCCCGCCCCCCGCCGCGCTGCTGCAGGCCGTCCTGCTCGTCGTGGTGCCACACAGCTTAAGAAATCCTATGTCATTGAGGATGACAGTGAGGAAGAAGCGTCGGCCGATGACTTTGACGAAGACGAAGACGAGAGCGACTAAGTAGTGAAATGGTGGGGCTTCGAAGTCCATTCGGGATATTCTGCTTTTGTTTTGCAATGCTCTCTATTGTGTTTCTATTTTTTTTTTCATCTCCATGTCTTAGTTTTTTTGGTATTTTACGGAGATCTGGCAGAGCCAGTGCATGCAACGCAAATACAGGATGTTTAATCTTTAATCTTTTATTCGTAGATATCTCATTGGCGTCTAGTATCTTATATTCAATTCTGATATCTTCATAGGTCCTTGCTACATTCACATTATATGAGGAATATAGTTGTTGGCACTACTACAGATAATAAGACAAAACATAGAGCAAAGACTTCATAGAATCATAACTCATTCAACACCTAACGCCGTCCAGTCTAATACATTGCCCAAAGAAAACGAAGTTGCATTGTAACCTCTAACAGACTGTCTGAAAAGAGTCTCCCAGTATCAGCTAAACCTTCAAGATCCTCCTGTTTCAACGTAAAGGACATTGACTTGAACACGCAATCCTTCAACTCCAAAACCACCAGATCACACAAATATTCCTCACAAAATGCATAGAGATAGCACCACACAAAAACCCTCAGCTCCGAGACCATAAACGCCATTCCCATGTCAAATTTGTAGCGTCATCAAAGCGAAGCCCGACGTCGCTTACGACTACGAGACTCATCACCACCAAGCGAGCGAGAGCCGCAAGGCGAAGCCAACCCATCATCCTCTTCAGTTTCAGCTCCGGTACTTTCAAGCTCATTCATATGCAGACGAAGAAGAGCTTCAGCAGCCTTAACCTCACGAGTAAAGTGAGGAGAGGACTGACGCGCACGCGATCTCCGACTGGGATACTTCCTCCGCGATACGGGACTTGCACCGTCCCTAGCAACACCATTCCTCTTGGATGGGGGTCCGCGGTAGTCTTCATCGTTAGCATCATCCATTTGCCAATCATCGTCTGAGTCGGTTAGATCATCAGAGTCACTTTGCAGGACGGACACCCCCGAGGCGTCGGGCTCGTCGGGCTTGTCAGTTTCCATATGTCCGTCCACGGATGGACAATTCGGAGTGGAATACATGTTCGACGAGCCGTCGCTATCGGTGTCACTGTCTTCGCTAATACCGGGGGCATTAGCAGGGCGCATAGCATCTGACAGAGCACGGAGGATAGTGCGAGGTGATTCGACCCGCGAGCGAGGTGGAGCGTTGGAGCGTGGCGGGTTGATGGGGGTGAATGCAGACATGGGCGACTGGCTCTTAGGTGACATGCAGTAAGGCTCCATGGAGGAGTCCCGGGCACTGGAGTTGCTCTCGGCGTATTGGGTGCGCGGGATCTTGAGAGGGGCCAGTGTCAGGGAGGAGTCTTGGCTCAATACCCCCATACCATGGAGAAGGGTATGTGTCGAGGAAGGCTCGTTGGCTACAGAGCTGGCGGGGTTGGACTTCATTTCCAGAGAGCGATAGTAGTTGGAGGTGTTGGTGGCTCGCTGCACGATCTCTGGGGGGATGACCATGCGGCCGTGGGTTTTGCGGTCCGTTGGGGGGATACACATGTCTGGGAAGTCTGTTCCAAACAGGGGAGTTAAGGCGTATCGGATTCTCCAGCAAAAGGTTGCTGCCATGGCTCTGGCAGCTTCATAGGGCATCCAGTATCCTATTTGAAAAGGAAATGTTAGATATAGCTATCCAAGGAATCGGTTGATAGGAGAGGGTATAAAGATCTTACCTTGAGCAGAAAGTGCCCCGCCGGTGATGCTGTGGCAGATATCGCGGAGGCCGGGGTTCTGGTTCAGCATTTTGGCTGGGGTAGTCTATGATGAGTTAGAAATTTTGCATATGTAGATGAGCTTTGTTATGAGCTTGCCTTGGAGTAGCCGTTGCATTTGAAAAGGTGTGTGATCCGAACGATGCCGATATTGTAGTCCCACATAACATGCCATTCCTTTTCTTCTCCGGGTATTTGGAATGTGTACTGAAAGACTAGATGGAAGAGTCAGATGTGAAGATCAAAACATGATCAACGACACATACCATGGAAGCTGTCTCGGCCTGTCTTTTCTTGGAAGGTTTTCTTGTCACTGGCATATGGGATATGACGAGGATAGTCGGCAATATTGCCCAGGGGACGTAAAGAGAGCTCTCTGTGAGCCTTCTCCAGCTCTGCGTCTCTCTCCTCGCATGGAGGATAGCGGCACTCGCCCTGGATCTTGCCACGACGGAAAATTGGGGCGTCCTTGGCCATCTTCTGCCGCTTCTCGCGTGGGGCAGGGAATGGATATGGAGATCGCCTTTCAGGCTGAGGATTCAGAAGGGATTGAATAGATAGCATTAAGATGTTCAAGTGCTATCCTTGAAAGAAGGGAAGAGTTGAAGAACGAAGTCACCGGGGGAATGAAGGAGCTTAATGTCTCTTGGAACAAGAGGCGTTTTCCAGAAGGAAATAAAAGACAGTCAAACCTGGGCGTAACAAAGTAAAGTAAGACAATCCAAGACCTTTGTTCGAAGGTTTGTTCCGTACAGCTTCTAGAGGTGAGTGAGTGTTTGTTGGCAAATACAACTTTCGAGGCAGCGGTGAATAGAAGAACTCGGAATCTGAAAGTGTCTAACACTCGGTATATGGGCTTCACCGGTTCTTTGCCTCTCTCTCTCTAACTATCTCTCATATCACAAGGGTCCTGGGAAGTCGGACGAGTACACGGGCTGTTTGTCCCGCGTGGAAGTGAGAAGTTATCTTCGACTTTGGACTGATGATGCAGTGTACAGTTTCCATTCCCCTGGAAGTTACAAACTACAGATAATTTGAGACCTGTTTCTCTGACATCTCGAGGCATAACCTGTTTCACATTCACAACTGCGATTAGCCAAGCCCCAAAGAGATCAGTGAAAGAAAAAGCATGGCAACCGTTTCAGGGACCATGTGGATATCCTAGATTTCCTTTTGGAAACTTGGAAATGCAGTCACTGCATGCAAACAGCCCGTTACAGTAATTGGTACGTACAAAAGGCCCATATTATACACTGTAAATGTCCTGATATCCCGGGGTATAGAGCTTGTTGTCCCACCTTTTTCTTCAGAATTTTATCGAAGAACCTATGCCAGATCATCCTTGGCATCGGGCTAACGAGAGTACTGCAGCAACCGGAGCTTTTAGGACACCAGTTTAATGGTTCAATGAGAAGCTACATACCCCATGGTGGCTCAACAGATGAGCATTAAAGAGGTCTCAGGCCTACGGCAAGCTGCAGGGCAACTTACTCCTTGTATGACGGGAACGTGCATTGCCTAGCGAGTCCGCGAAGTGCACCTGAGAAAAGCTGTGCTGCAAAGATAAACTTCTGACATCAAAGAGAAATGTGACAGGGATCTTCAGCACCCCACGCTTCCATGCCTATACAGCACTAGGCCGTACAAGCGGTCTATAAATTTGACGGGGTAAGGCTGAATTGATACAAACAGATCTTGATGGAAAAGAATGGAATTCTTTTCTATTGGATATAGGTGTATAGTTCACCTCTATCCCTTTTTCCCCTTTGAATACTCAATATGGGATGGAGCCTCAGCACTCTGAACTAGACCGCTGATTTCATGAAGTCTGAGGGCGTGCGTATAACAGAGACATTGGCCGCCCATAAGGATAAAAGACATAATAACGACTTCAAAGAACCTTCCATGCATCCTTCTATGCAGTAATCCGACACGTTGATGGCCGTAGCCCACTTTTCCTGCCCGTATCTTTTTCTTCCCTCTTGAATTGACTTATACCATAGTACCACACTGACTCCTCCTGGTCCATATTGCAACCCGCTATTGTACCCCCCTACCAGTCTAGTTTATTCTGCATAATACTTCCAACAGGTACAAGAGGTCCATCCGCCAATCGGTGCCGGGCCGGGGCATTACAGAGCACGGCAGAAAACGGTGCATATAGTCGCCGGACGCTATGCAATCTGGTCAGAGACTGTAAAGGTCGAGGACTGAGGTGTGAACTAGATGTCAACCCAACCGGGCTAGTTTTCGAGGGGGGTGGGTTCAATTGAAGTCGGTCTGCAAAGGCTCCCAACAGCCGAGACCGATAGCAGAAACGAGGACTGGTTTCCAATGTCTTAGACACTCTGAACTTGTTCTATTAAGCCCTCAAAGAGCGGTAAACCCGGACATGCGTGTCCTCTGCGACGCGTCTCAGATCCCGGGCTTCTGGAAAAGGGGCAAGAAACTATGTCTCAATTGGGATGTTGCTGTTGGTGTTTAGGCCTTTGGCTGTTTTCCTTCTTGATTTCCGTAAAGTATATTTGAGTCCCCTTTAGTAACAGTGACTCTTTCAGGTTACCCTTGTGGGATTCCTCTTTTCACATGTTTATCAAGAAGATTCATCGTTCAGATCAGAGCCGGAGTTTTGATGATGTTGTGGTATGGCAGTAAGGTCTCAACTGTGGACAGGGAATACACGGAGCATCCATACCCACATTAGCCTGCAAGACTCGATACTAAATCCAAGTTTCAAACAGGGAGACTTCTATCACAAGGTCCAGACCTCGACCCGTTGAACACAGAGTACAAACCGGACCCGTCCCCACGCCTAATTCAACTTGTGATTTCACAAAATATTCATCGCCTGCAGATATCAAACCGCACTCTATAATCTGTACCACAGACCTCGAATCCGGGGTATATGGTGGGCGAGTGGTGAAGAAAACACAGTTCCGACAACTGAACAAGGCAAGTCTTCGAGGGAGAGGGGAAGCACAGTGGAAAGGAAAACAAAACCGTCACAGGCTGGCCCGAATCGCGACGCGGCGAATATGGAGCCGGTTCGGTGGACCGGGGTGAAACTCAACGGCTGTCTTGCACTCCAGGGCTGTTAGGTGAAGGCCACTTGCATGGAATGAGCAACTACCTAAGTGGGTCGAGGCTTTTCATTGAGATGAAAATCGTAACGCATGAATATGGCAGAATATGAACTGGATCTAGTTTCCTGGTAAGTAGTACGCATACAATATTTCTTGATGCCTAGATAGTCGTCGAGGTCCCTGCGCGAGGCTCGAGGGCGGGCACATGGGATGTCTTGATTGGGGACATATATGGAAAGTCAAGTTATGATCATGAATTTATGTAAATGTAATTCCATTAGAAACAATATGAACCCGAGAAAGACATAAACAAGGGGTGTTTGGAGAAAAGAAACAGATAAAAATGTCCAGTGGGTTGAAAAGGGAAGATAAAATATCAAAACGGGGAAACAAGAGACGCATGATGGCTCATCCATCGCTCAAGGATCCTTATTTTTATTGTTCGACACGAGGATTTGGCAACCAGAGCCCATGTATATTCCCAAGGGATCCCCCAAGAACAAGGTGACTCAAAAACCAATATCACGTGCCAGTGCCGGCATATCCAGCGATAATCTGGCCAGAATGATGATATCCATTCACCAAAAAAGGATTTGGTTGACTCTCAAGTTTGAGGTCAATTAACATTCCTGGTTAAGGTGGCGTAGTATCATTAAGACCTGTTCAAATAGCCAGAAGAGGCTCACGGTCACCTGCCTGCTCTGTCGGCTCGACAGACGCAACAATGTCAGAATCGAGAGCTTGGGCAATAGGAGCAGCCGTGGGAGCCTCGGGGAAATCCTCGTGCTTGACGACGGGCTCAGCAACGGGGGCAGTGATGGGAGCAGTGAAGTCGGCAATGGGCTCAGTCTTGACAGACTCGGTAACGGTCTCACGCTTGACCGGGCTCACAAGCTTGGTCGCCTCCGGGGAGGTAGAGCGCCGGGAGCCGATGTATCCCTGGGCCTTGGAGCTGTACTCGCCGACATACTGCTTCATCAAGCCAGTGGCGTGCGAGGTACGCTCGCCAGCCATGTCCTTGAGCTGGTTGGTCTGGGAGTTGATGATCTCTTGGACATTGCTGATCTGCTCGTCAATGATCTCGCGGTTGCTGATGTAGATAAGCGGGGTGAAGTATGTGGTGGTCACGGCAATCACGGCCAAGCCCCAGAAAGGAATGAAGCGGATCAGCCAGTAGCCAGTGAAAGCAGCAGTGAAAGCCTAGGAAATCGTTAGTCTCGGCCCATTGGTTCGGCTTCGTTCTTAAGTTGCAACCTACCAAAACGGTGTGGAGGACATTCTCAGCGAACAGGATGCGCTGGAACTCGATCAGGAAGAAGTCCACAAGCTGCTCAAAGTCCTCGAGAACAGCCTCAACGGTCTCCTTAGGAACGGTGTAATAACGGCGGGGGCGGAATCCACTGGCGATTCCCCGCTTGAGGATGACCTGACCAGCAATCTCGACGGTGGCGGTCGCTGCACACAATTGTTAACCAACACTTTTATTAACCGTAGGTCACGCGATCAACTCACCTCCCAATGACATGTACAGGAACTTGAAGGCCCAGCGGAGAAGAGGAAGATAACGGGCGGCAAAGATGAAACAGATCACGCTGGCGTAGGAAACGGCGGTCGCACGGGGTTGTTCCCACTGTATACACGCAGAAATTAGCGAGCTATTCAAATTGAAGACTCGGGCGACAACTCACGCTCAAAAGGCTATACATCAACGAGTGGTAGTCTAAACACTTGTTAATATCCCGCTTCCCGATCAATGCAGTCTCATGGCATACGGGTCAATGGTTGACCATCGGCGGTGGTGGTCGAAGGTGTCACACGCGAGTTTTTCAAATCGCGAAGCTCCTCGCCGGTGCGGGATGCTTCGGACTTCACATTATCAACAATTGGGCCTTTGAACGAACTGGTCAGCTTGCTTTCATGGCTTCGGAATCTTCGGGTTTCCTATTTACCCTTGGTAATAACATCGCTGATGCCTGAACGCGAGAGGGGTCAAGGTCAGTCTTTCATGGCCTCGGAATCTGGGGGGAAATAAAGGAGCACAATACTGCAAATTCGGGGTTAGCATGCTCATTCGGATTAAAGTGACCTGTTCTCTTACCTTACTGCCCGTGTTAGGGTAGGTCACGTCACCAGAAGCCATGACGATATTTTTTTGAAGCACTCAGGGGGGATTTTTAGAATTGAAATTAGAAAATTCGTAAGAAGCGTATGAAGTCGAGGCGTGAAATCTAGAAAAGAAAATTAAAGGGGGGATAGGGGAAAGAAGAGAAGAGCACAGAAAAGATAAGGGAAGATTTCCAAGGTTGTTGTGATGCTGTCATGTGCGTTGCCAAGCCCGAACAGCTCTATGACGAATCTATGAACCTGTTTGATACTTGGAAATATTCTTATACTATTAGTAGAATGAACTAGAAATTTTTGTCCAAACGGTCAAACTAAGCTATATATTGCAAGTCTAAGTCTACAAAGTAACTATATTGCAACCATATACCAGATTCTCTCTATAGCTTTCTTACCACGCTTGGGCTCAAGTAAATTTAGCATCTTAGGCTCCCAAGAGGACTATGCTTAAGTCACGTGTAGAATGCCTATGTACTTTACTAGAGCCCTGGAGGTGATGTATGATTATGTACTGACCTCGGGGGGCGACTTTATATCCGCCGCAGACTACGGGGTATACTTGGATAGCCTATGGGGTCGTTTATACTAAAATAGTTAGTCCCATTACTCCTACACATTCCCCCTACACATTCTATAGTACCTAATGTCAGCAGAAACAAGTGCATTAAGTTCAAAATTATACGTATAGGAAAAGGAGAAGGGAAGAAAGAGACTGATATAAACTTCCCGAGGTCCGAAAGTGGCAAGTGGCCCCGGGGGGCAGCTATATTACCTTCCAAGGTTGGTAATTCCTCTTATAAACCCCGGGGCCATGGACACGATCATCTTCTAGGTAACTACCTAACCTAAACCAAAACGCTACCTAGCTCATCTTAAAGTCGAAGGATATCAGCCCACAATTCGTTCTTCCCTCCAAGAGGCTCCAGACATATGCAGATCTACGACCGTCGCTCATTTTACGGTTAGCGTATTCCAGTTCGGATTTTTGCCGTCAATAAATCGCTTTCTTTTCGTAGCTACGGTTGGACCCCGTCCTACGTCTATTCTTAGCGCAGTGATAAAAGACAGCTGATATATGGCATGATATGTGATGGAATGTTCGGTGGAAGGGTTTTGGACAAGCCACCAAGTTATGACCATAGTAGGCAAACATGGAAGTGATAAATGGAAAAAATATTTTGTTCTAGTTGGTGATACACTGCTAAACTAGCCTTTCTGGACATTGTTTGTCCAGATGAAGGAACATAGGGAACTATGCAAGGAGCCAACCTGGCAAGAAAAACCCCACCTTTCCAAAAACTAATATTCATTGTTCCAGCTAGCTATCTATATTTCCCTAGAGTGAAAGCAATTGAAGACATGAAGTCAGGAAGGAGAGAAGCTATGAGTCCCCAATCAGTTTTGCGGATCATAAGAGCGGGGCTTTTAGGGTTGCATCGGATCGGGCCGAGTTTTATATTAGGCTGTCTCTTCGTGCAATTTACAATGTACTCCGTAGTTCTATGGTTATTGAAGCAGCGAGACATCACCTATAGGTGAGAGCATATTCGTCCACGGGTATTACCAGTGCGAGCCCCAGTAGCCTCAAATCGAATCCCTGTCGGAGTGGGAGGCCCGACGGCCCCCGACGGCCCCCTAATTTGATTTAGAGCATATTTTCTCTTCTTAAAACCCCTCTTCCCATCTCTGCGCCTACATTAGACAAAACTTTCTCGTCAGATCGAACCCTTTCTTGCTATCAAACAATCTATATTCAAAAATGTCGGGCCCTATGCCTGATGTGCACGGCTCTGCGGATATCACCGCAGAGCCTAACCTAGAGTCACGGTTGGTTATAGCCCTTCAAACTCGTAACACGAGTAATGATACTGATGCCTGTGCCTCTCTTTCTTTGCCGAAAACAGAACAAGATTCAGTTCTTTCTTCTGAAATCAAAGACCGTGTGGCTCCCAATGTCGCTCGCAGTATACCTACCCCCTCGGACGACGATGACGGCCGTGTGGCGACCGAAGATGAAGTGCGCGATCTCCTTCATGTCGTTGACGAAATTCCGGTTCGGCTCTGGATAGCATGCATCGCAGGTATTCTGGAGCGATTTGTCTGGTACGGAGCAACTGCTCCTCTACGTGCGTAGCGCACCTCCCTATCTATAACTTTCTTTGGCTGACCCATAACCACAGAGAATTACCTGCAAAATGCACCCGGTGGTAAGGTACCAGGAGCACTGGGCTTTCATCAGGCGACTGCGTCGAACATTGTTAATGCATTGATCATTGGGTCGTATGTTGTGCCCGTGCCTGCTGCCGTTGTTGCTGATAGCTGGTTGGGACGCTATAAAACCATGATATACGCTGCTATGTACTGTGAAATTTTTTTTCTTTATCTTACCCTGACCTTTTGACCCATTTGATGGCTAATACTATAGTAGCATTGAGGCCATCGGGGCAACTATTCTTTTTGCGACGTCCTTACCTGTCGCCATTCGCGAGGGGGCAACTTTGCCCGGGGTGGTGCCTGCCTGTATACTGCTGGCCGTTGGATCAGGGGCATTCAAAACTACTGTAGTGCCGTTTATGGGTGAGTCAATCTCTTAGAATTGGGTGTACTAATCCAGATGCTGATGATCATTTAGCCGACCAATATGACGAGGCCGAGTTTCGAATCAAGACTCACAAAAACGGAGAGAAGGTTGTCACTAGCAGGGAGTTGACCATTACCTATATCTACAACGTCTTTTACTGGTGAGTAGATTAGTCTCTTCCTTTCCCATCTGGCTAACGCTAGAAACAGGGCTATTAACGTTGTGTGTTTTGTGGCTGATGCCACGCCGTTGTTGGAACGCTATGTTGGCTTTTGGCTTGCTTACCTGATTCCATGCTGCGCCATGTGGTTAGCCCTGATCCCGATGCTATTCGGTCGCAAGTACTTTGGTGAGTGTGTTTACTGCCACGGCAATAAAGCTATCAACTAACATAAAGATACAACAGTTCGTGAATCGCCAACAAGCAACATTATGCCCCAGGTATGTGCTGCCTTGCGATGTGGTATCACCGGAGGCTTCAAAATGGATGCCGCAAAGCCAGACGCCCAGATTCATCAACATGGTCGCCAGGTCCCCTGGACAGACTCATTCATTGAGGAGATTAAGAGAAGTCTTCTGACATGCCGAATATTGTAAGTCAATACGCTTTCTAGCATGCAGCCACAGCTGACATATATATAGGATTCTGTTCCCTATCCACTGGCTATGCTATAACCAGACATTCAATAACTTGATATCTCAAGCTGGGCAAATGGTCACGTATGGTATTCCGAACGACATGATGAAAATTGCTGGGCCCATCTCGGGGATCATCGTTGCGCCTGTCATTCAGAAAGGACTCTATCCTTTCCTTACGAAGAGACGAGTCTCATTTGGACCAATTGCACGAATGACAGTCGGATTCTTCTTCTTGACTCTATCGATGATTTACACCACGGTGGTTCAGATGCTTATCTACCAGGTCGGGCCATGCTACGATACACCACTTGCGTGTGCTGCTGCCAATGATCGCACTGTCCCCAACCAGATTTCAGTCTTTCTCCAAATCCCGACGTACTTTGGGGGAGCATTGGCGGAGGTGTTTTGCCTCACCACTGGAACCGAGTATGCTTATAACAATGCGCCTAAGAGTATGAAGACCCTGGTCCAAGCAATCTGGCTCGCCATGGCTGGGATCGGAACATGTCTTGCCCTGGCCTTCACCCCGCTCACCAAGGACCCACATCTTGTCACAATGTATGCCATCCTAACCGGGCTTCTGGGTGGAGCGACCATTCTGCTATGGGTTATATTCCGAGGCTTGGACAAGTCGGAGATCAAGGAGGACGTTGAGTAAGGGAATCCCTTATTTGGAGTATAGAGCAGGGTCATGTGCGTCATTGGTAGTCATTATCAAGAGAAGGGAAAGATTTGGAGAGGTCGAGGGACTTTGGGGTTTTACAGTGGTGATTTAGGGTAGAGGCTAGTGAAGAGAATGAAAGTTTGAAGTGGTTGTAAATGACTTGTGTGATGCTTCCTTTCTTAATATACAAAATCATACACTATTTAGGCAATTGGAATAAAATACTGTCGTTATGAATCTCACAACCTCCTCCCTTGGCATTTGTCGACTGTGCTGAGACCTATCGCTACATTATATATATATCTTGTTCGTCACGCCACCACATCGTCAATTCAGCATCTCAACTTGCAAATCGTAGCATAAATAGTGCCTATGTTTTATTTGGAATGCAATTAAACTTCCATCATCCTGCGCTACTAGTCTCAATATTATCATACTTGCCCACAGCAGCGGCCTACTCTAGACATAATGAGGTCATAGACTCATTAGTCTATTACTGTCGAGCAGAAAACAAGCAAGTCTCCGTGGCGCAATTGGTTAGCGCGTCCGACTGTTAATCGGGAGGTTGGAAGTTCAAGCCTTCCCGGGGACGTTTCTTTTTGTTTTTTGTTCTTTGGCCATAAAGTACCCACTTGGGTTGGAGTGGGACCATTATAGATAGGCATTGAAGGCGACGAAGCAGACTGATGGGGGCCGAGATCTCTGGGGGGTTTATCCAGTGCCATCCTATACTTGTTAAGTTGGAATCGGGACTTCAACTTTCTCAATATCATGTTTAATATGCATTATATCGGTCCTTTCCTTATGACCGATATCATGGACTATATATAACAGTCTGCATAAGGGGAAAAGAGTTATTGGCGAGAGTGACGGGGTGGATACAACCATTTTGTTGTGGTCGAAATGTCTTGAACTAACGAAATGAGTCTGGAAGCCCCAAGTGGCTGGCCCCAAGTTGTTTTGTGCACAACCTGATGTGATTGTGGTGAGTGACTCTTGTATGGCAGCGATAGACTACATGGTGGTAGAGAATATATTTATCTTAACTAGCTCATAATCCTCACTCATATTCTATAAAAGCTGCTCGCGCGACTTTGCGCTCAATCGACGGTTTAGACTGGTGATGCTTATTATGACCGTATCCTATATTGAGAGGATTTGGCCCGCAATTTTATGTTTATCAGGCATCAGAAATCGGTACTTTCTACGGAGGAACCCGACAAGTGTTTTAGCCTTTCTTGTCGGTCATAGATGCCTACACATTTCTGATGATATGGTTGGCTAGTCCCCACTAATATCATAGGCAGAATCGGCCTCATTGTGGTCGAAATCCACCTCATAAGATATATATCATACATATATATATATAGCGATTCATCTTTCACTTCCATTTCATAAACTAGCTACTTACTCAAGATGACAGAGCCGAACCCTTCTCCTGCTTTTTTTACAAAGTACAATGAGCAGACGCAAAGCAGCATATTCTCACTCCCTCCAGAGATTCGCCATGAGATCTTCACCTACACGTTGACAAGTGCCCCAGACACGACACAGCCACCGGAGAAATATGGATACTGCACACGACCAGGTTATGAAACCCGTCATCGAACCTACACAGAACTGCTCCGAACCTGCAAAAAGGTCTACATGGAGGCATGGTTCATGCCCTTCATCTATTCGGAGCATGCGTTCTGGATGGCCTCTTTGTTCCGCACTCCCGAGCGAATTGTTACGGTCGAGAAAATGCAGCAAAGCCTAAATCTAATTCATAATCGACATGGTGAAGTGCAGGGTGGCTGTATTCGAGTGTTTCCTCAGCTATATAGCCTCGAGAGCACCACAGACTTCAATGGAATCTTCATGATGCGTCATTTTTATCCCAAATCTGTTACAATCACTATCCGTTACACCGATACCTGGTTTTGGGAAGACAATCAGGCGTTATGCATCGACGGTGCCTGGGGAAAATGGCTAGTGCTGCCCTCTAGCGTGACTAGATTCTGTATCGATATTGAAAGCATCGATCGACGCAAAGACGAAGTAGACTACATTGCGGGAGAAATGGCCGATCAGTGGCGATTCAAGCGAGCCGATGGCACCAATATGCTCGCAGCCAAGGCTGATACTACAGTGTCCAGATGGACAGGAAGTTCCATGCTCGGGGAACGGCGCTGGTTGCGTGACGAGGTGACGCCTGGTCAGCTTCAGTACTATTTTGCGACAGTAACATGGCGGCCTTCGCAAGAGCCCTTGGATGCTCAGCGCTTGAATCCCCCACTTCGGGTCAATTGGGACCGCCCAGTATTCGAGGATTCACATTGGCACTCTATCAGGGAATCGTATTTGGAAGAAGCCGGAATATCTATGGAAGTTCCTGCTTCGGAAGTGATCGCTAAAGCCATCGCTGATGGGTATGAACCTAGGGGTTCTGATGATAGTATGTCTGAGTATGAGTTTGAGGAGTACCCGGAGGACTCAGATGACGACTCCGATGAAGACTCGGACGATGGCTCTGAAGAGAAAGGTGGTTTTCAGGCATAATTTGCTTTCAACGTCTTAATTTCAATGGAAAACCAGGTTTCAACTATTAAAAGATTCATAGAGTGCCATAGCAAAACAAAGAAACACGTGACCCACGCGTTGCTATCGAACCCGATTCGGTCTGTTTTGATTCTCGACATCTCCATTCCCCGACTCAGCGCGACCCACAACCACACATCCTCCATGATTGTACATTTACAATTACTCTCCGTACGCCATTAATCACTTGTTTTATTTCCCCTAATTTCGCCAACGGCGCATTGTTTTGATCATGGCGGCAAGCGCGAGGGCGCAGAAACCCGTCGGCTCAGCGCCATGGATTGCAGCAGAGAAGGAAAACATGGCCGAGCTAGTGGAACAAGAAATGGAAGAAGTGGAATACCCTGTTCGACACGAAATGGACTGGTTAAATGAACATATGACCGAAATCTTCTCCAAGGGCCAGACGTGAGTTGCGACCGCACACTATGATCTGTACCTGCTCAGTGCTAACAATCACACAGGAACTTCGCAGATGTGTTCAAAACTCCCGGAAAGATGAGAGGCAAAACGCCCCGAACCGCTCGGAAGCGTATCCCCGAAGAGTCTCGAGTGGTGAGTTTCTCTATACCAAATTGATTTCAACAGTTCGCGTCTAATGTCCCCTTGCAGCCCTTGAGCGAAATATTCTCATCCGCCCAGAAACAACTGGAAAACCAAGCAAGCCCGAGCCCATTCATTCATCGTGTTGTTTCTAAGCCAGCTCCCGTGGCGGCATCGCCTGTGCCCCGCACCAACGCTGTGATAGAGCAAGCTTCGCAACCCGAATACCCCGATCTCACCCAAAATCTGAACTCGTTCCCCACATACAACACTGACTCTGGTTACCATGGCATGCCCGATGATGATGAAATGGTATTCCCTGACGTGCAACAAGAATCACAGGCTTCGACTCAGCCTTCTACCCAACCTTTGGAACAAGACGAGCCCATGAATCAGGATACTCAAGAGGTCGACATCTCGGTTAGTCAACAGACGAACGAAGAATCCTTCCACTCCGCGCGTGAAGAGGTTCGCTCCCGCGGGCAGACTGTCGAGCCGAACAACAACCCAACCCCAACCCAGGAGCGAACAGCGCTTCCGGCCGAATCGGTCCCCAAAGAATCTGAGACCGAGATCATGTCGACACCGACTAAGAAAACAAAGCCCGAGTTGAATATCGAAATCTTGGAAACACAACAGAATGAGGAACCTGAAACAAACGAGAGTGATGCGGTCGTTTCAAAACCTGAGCCAACTCCAGAAAAGGTCCCGGTGGCCCCGGTAGCTCCACCTATCGAGACGCAAGAGTATCACTCAGAAGACGAGGATATGGAAGATGCTATGAAAGACGACACAGTTCTCGACAATCTTGATGACATCGGCTCTCCTTCGGATGGTTCTACTCCAGATCGACCATTCGCTCGGAAAAGCAGCCTAAGCTTTGCCACCCTCCCTGCGCGGGAACCTTTGAAGACTCGAACAAGCCATATTGATCTGGCGAAGATGAGTACTGCTGGGCGTCCCAGTTACTTTGGCAGACAGACAGGCGGCCACAGGATTCCGCAAGCTGCGGCAGAGGAGAATGCCGGTCCCAGGGCGTTGGACATTGATAACGAGAAAGAATCAAACGAAGAAGCGGATCCTGAGCAGGCTACCAGGATGCACAGCAAAAAGTCTACGCAGTCCTTGCATGATAGAATCAGCATGCTAGGCAAAGTCCAGCCATCCCGACCCAGAAAGTCGATCCCATCTGCTTCTGGCCTGCCGGGTGGTCAGGTTGCCTACCCAGATCTTGCAGCTTCCAAGGCTGAAGCAAAGTCTGAAGCTTCAAACGAAAGGGCACAGGAGGCTCCAGAGCCCATGTCGGTCGACGATGACTGGATCAAACCTTTGAGTTCTCCCCAAAAACCCGAGCTTTACAAGAGCAAGACCGCAGATGTCATGGAGAAGCTTGCTGAATTCGAAAAGGCGCGAGCAGTCAACCAAAAAGATACATCGAAAACAGAGCCCGAACGTCCCAAATCATCTACCTCGATGTTCTCCTCGCCCCGACCGCAGGGTCACCAACCAAGCGCTTCTTTGACTCATATTGCTGCTGATGCGTCTACTACTCCAACAGGCTCGCCAAGGCGCTTTGATGGTCACATTAGTGCTTCCAAGTTGAAACTGCACTCGATTATGAAATCTGCCAAGGGCTTATTCTCAAGCACTGGAAACACACCGCGAATGGAGCACTCATCGCCTGACCAGGCGCGCATTCAGCCAATTGCTGACACATTCACTAAAAATGCCAAACATCTATCTCAGCCTGTCCCTATCACCAGTCCTCAACGTCCGGAAGGCCGCCGAACACGAAGCTCAACCGAGAAAGAAGAGAAACGGCGCCAGCACGAGCGGAAAGAGCAGGAACGTGAGGATCAAGAAGAAGAAGCTCGCGTTGAGAGAGCTCGGGAACAAGAAAAGCAAAGAGCCCTTCAGCTCAAAGCCGCTCGGGACAACTCATCAGTCGAGCCAGAAGAGAGGGCAGGCCCAGCAGTACACAAGACCTCTCAGTCACAGCGCCAACAATCGCGCGAACCTGAATCAGCTCAGGAGCCCAACTCCAGATTTGCCATCCCCCAACCCAAGCAAAATGACCGCCGTCCTCTCAAACCCACCCGCGAGCCCATGAAACGCCCAACGCCGCAACCCATGTCAATTCGTGTTGGAAGCACCATGTCTCGTCAACAAATCCCTGTCGCATCGTCTTCGGGTGCACGGGAGTCGAGTGTGTCCATAGCCGCCCCTCCCCCGGTCTCGAAACCAACTTTGAAAAAGAAGGGCAGCAATACATCCTTACATACATCATCTTCTGCAAGCAGCTTCAAGAGCTCTGTCTCCAGTCTGACGCAGGCCCAGCGCAAGGCCCAGGCCGCCAGCGACCGCAAGAAGGAGCAAGAACGCGAGGCACGTCGGAAGGAGGAACAAAAGCGTGAGCTAGAACGCAAACGTGCTGCCCAACTGCAGCAGCAACAACAGGAAGAGGCCCGTCGGCAGGAGATGAGGAGTCGTGCCGAAGCTGAACGGGAGCGACAAGCTGAACGGGAGCGACAAGCCGAAAGAGAGCGACAGGCTGAAAGAGAACGCCAGGCCGAACGAGAACGCCAGGCCGAACGAGAGCGCCGCGAACGGGAAAGGTCGGCCCAGGAAGACCCAAACAAAGCAGCCCGTATGGAGGCGATCAAGAAGCGACAAGCAGAGAATGCTCGGAAACATGGGAGACAAGGCAGCCAGCAGATAGTCAACGATGTAAGCACGTTGTTTCAGCCAGTGGTTTGTCATGCCGCTAACAATCTCCAGGGACCAATTCTACAACACGAGCAGTCGTATTCTCAGTCTTCCCAGCGAAGTGACTTGGGTGCTGCCCGCCCTCCTTCTCGCTTGGGTAGCTCAATTCAGCCGTTTGGTGGCCGCAGCATCAACCCACCACCACCTAATCCTGCCAAACCGCCAAAGAGAGGCAATGATGAAACCAGCCACCGGCCTGCGCCGTCTAACCCCACTAACGTACAATCAACTGGCGAGTTCAAACGGCGAAAGACAGAAGATGAGCATAACCCTATGCCACCTGTGCGCACCATGGCGCAGCCTATCCGTCAATCAAGTATCAGAAAGGTTAGTAACATCAGATCCCATTTACTCTCCGACGAACAATCATTGACATTTGTAAAAGCCTTCTACTCTTGGCCGTGGACAGTCTTCCATGGCACCCCAGTCAGCCTCTTCCAGCTACAGAAATGCTCAACCTCAGCGACCCGCTCACCCAATAATCACGTACACAAACGGCAAGATACCGTTTGCCGAACCAAATCAAGCACCTCCACCAAGTGCACACAAGGCTGCACCCAGCTCCGCCCAGCGACCACCAGCCAAGCCATCTCCCAAGTACCCCAATGGTGAAAATATCCACTTGCCGGAAATCAACACTGATAGTGAAGATGATGACGATTCCGACTCCGAGATGTTCCCTGTTCCCAAGTGGGCACAGGCGAAGGAACTGGAAGGTCTTCTCCGGCAGCAGGATGGTATGGAAGTTGACTCAATCTTCGGCCCAATTGCACCATTCTCTCTTGAAGACACCTTCAAGGCGGATAAGAAGATCAAAAAATACCGTGACCGCACCAGCAGTGCGAACTGGTCTGGACCCGATGGACTTACTCAAGAGGAGATTCGGAAGGATGTTGCCGAGCGACAGCGGTTGCGACTCAATGGTGGTTGGAGCTTCAACAGCTAGTGATCAGCAGGATTTTCTTTCTTGGATAGTGATTTGGTTCGTACATTGAATAGCGACCTTTCGTTTTTGGGCGTATGGATTTTGTGGACATGGTTATGTCGGTGTTATGGGTGTATCATCTACCTCATGGCGTTATTTTGTATTATTCTTGTCAGTTTCTATGGTCTTAGACATCAGCATGGTTGCATCCATCGGTGTATTGGGTTAATGAATTGTTGTTTTGGCCTTGGATGTTCTCTTGACGTTGATTCTTTTCAGGGTACATATGGGATAGGGCTTTGAACAATATTAAGGCTGAGAGTAAGTTTTGACTTATATAACACAATAGTGGACCATCTTACATCGAACTAGCATCATTGGTCTAGTGGTAGAATTCGTCGTTGCCATCGACGAGGCCCGTGTTCGATTCACGGATGATGCACTTCTTTTTTTATTTATTTTTTTCGTAGCTAAGTCTATCGTTTTAGGCTTTATCTCTTCTATATCTTTTACGGACGCCTTGTTCTTTGTCTTTTATTTTACCTTCGGGTCTAACAGGTTGTTTATTCGTTGTGCCATCCTAGTAACTTGGAAATATATATATAGTTGAAACATTTCACTCTAGAATTTCTGCCCGACTTAACATCTAATAGGACTTTGATGGACTCATAAGACGCAGAAACTCAAATGAATAAGTGACGCCTTATTGCCTAGAGCCCAAGATAGTGGTGTGTAACATGGTTGTTATGTACAGCGATATTAAACGAAGACCGGGACATACTCCATGGCTGTAAGCAAGACTGATCAAACAATATCAATAATCGCTAGAATGAGAAAATGACTCCCAAAGGCACGGATTCTATAAATAATCGACATAGTCCTGCACAACCCTACTTTCAATCCAAGAAGCAAAAGAATATATGGCACATGTGCATTGTTTATGATTTTGTACTCAAGCCGGTATGGAAATGAAAAACACATAAAACACAAAATAGAAAACCCTGGTCCAAACCCCACGCCCCTGGCAGCGCCGAGAAAATATATAATACAAGATTCTCTAGCCTTTACGCAGCAAATATCGACATTGAGCCAGCACTTACTTCATATCCGGCTCGATATCACTAGCTCCTCCCGCAGCGGCCTCATCCATAGCATCGGGATTGAGGTTGGCAGCGTCGGGCGCCACACCAATTTGAGTCTCGTAGGAGATGGTGCGCCAGCCTGATGCGCTGGTAGGATCTTTGACATATTCGGACATTGGGAACTGTTAAATGTTAGACGGTTCAAGTTATTTTGGGATATAAGAGCAAGGCAAAACCCACGTAATGATCATTCTTCTTCATGGTAACAACCCAGGGAACGTTGTCGAAGGTCACAGCGCGAATACGGAAGTACTCGTTATCTGGAATTTTCCGAACTTCCCGAATAAAGCTGTCCAGGTCTGGAGTTGCGACGCTGTTGACAGCAGTGAGGAAGTTAGTGGGTGCAAGACCGTAGTGGTAAGCGGGGGAACCACGGCTCTGAAGACTAGTGTTAGCGGGAGTTAAACGGGTGAAACGGAGGTATCGCAACTCACTCTTGCGCTCACGTAGATCTCGCTGTGAACCTTCGAGATCTGCTGGCGGACAGCATGGTGCGGCTTTTGTAGAACGGCACCGCAGAAGGCAAGGGCACGATCTGTCTCGATATCTCGGGTTGGTACGGTGGGGACGCGGATGCGCACTTCCTCGCCATTTCGGATGACCAATGCATCCAGGAATTCCTTTTCGTACATGACATCCAGCTCGGAAACGCGGGTGATGAGTTGGCCATCTAGCGTGAGAATAATGTCGGCTTCTTGGAAGCTGGTGCTGGCGTCCGGGACGACGCCGGCCGGAGGGCTGTCAACCTTGCGCACCATGAACAGCTGGTGTCGTGATGGATTGGCCTCGGTGACCTTGTTAATCCATTCCTGCGAGACGCCCATGATGCGAGCTTGGCTCATCTGCACAACGTAGCTTTCCATGTTCAGGATTCGCAATGTTGGGACCTCTCCTTGCTGGATCTTGGAAGTAACGGGAAGAAGGTATGGCGTGGCAAGGCCAAGGTGGTATTCGACATCCTTGTGAGAGCTTGCAGAGCGCTCACCGAGGTAGTTCAACCACAAGGCCTGTACTACGCCGTCTTCGCCGACGAGAACACCGTTTGAACATTGTGCGCTGAGCCCAGTATCCACGGTCACAGCATCTAGGTTGATTGCGCGATAACGGGGGGCAGCTGCGTTGGCGGGAATTGACACTGTTGTAATATCAGTGACAGTGGTTTTGGCCACGACGATGCGGTAGTTTTGGTTGAAGCCGACGAAGATGGTATCCTGGCCTTGTTTGATATAGTTCGTGCTGAGCTGGGCGCTCTTGACCGGAGCCTTGACGAGGCTGGGGTCATATTGAATAATGCTGTAGTTCTGAAGCGGGTGTAGGAAGACAACCTTAGCACTGACGATGATTGAATCGGCCACAGTGATATTGATATCACAAAGATCGTAGGGGACAATGGCTCGTGATACTACTACTAAGCCCTTCTCAGCATCGATGACCAGTCCAAACCCAGTCTTCTTTGCTTGCGGGTATCCATCCAGCTTCAACGGCATTATGCACGATACACGCACAAAGCTACGGACAATCTCGGCAGCAGCAGGTTGGCTGATGCCGTCTAACTGGATGAAATTGGCTTCCCGGGGGACAGGAGGCTCAGCAGGAATAGGATCGGCGAGATCGGAGAAATCCCACAGACCAGTCTCGTCGTTACGGATCGCCATCCGCATCTTGGGATGCCAGTGTCGGTCAACGTAGATGATGCTAGTTCCTTTCGTGTGGAGGTCGCGAATATGGCGATAGGAGATCACCACGCGAGTGCGATCGGGGATGTTCTTCATGACCTCTACGAATTCATTGAGGTTACGGATGGGCCGCTTGTCGATTGAATCAATGATCCACCCTGCCACGGTGTTCTCCAGCTTGAAAGAGCCTGCCGACTCACAGACATAGACTCCGCGGGTGGCAATGGCATAGAGACGTGACTGCTGGTACGACAAATCATGGAAGCTGGCCCCAGCGACTGTCACAAAACGATCGGGAGTGATATCATGAAGATTACCCACTTGACACTCAACCTCAACGTCTTGACCGCCTCTCTGAACCAGCAACTTGACATTTTCGCCGACACTCGAGTCTAGGATATCGTCGAGACGAACAAACTGGGTGAGGAGCTCTCCGTTCACCTTGATAAGCACGTCTCCCTCCAACAACTTACCATCTGCAGGTCCCTCCGGAAGGATGATCTCGGCCGCAAGCATGTTCGTTTCAGTAGGTGCTGCGGCACGTATAGCAGCCTCCCACTCCGGGGTCAGACCAAGACGGCGACACTCGTCGAAAGGCCTTAAGACCCACTGTGTCTGAATTGTACCACGAGTGACAGGCTGACCTTGGCGGATACACTCCAGTGCACGGAGCGGGCGGTCTAGCGGCAAAAAGTAGTCTGTCGCAGCACCGTCAGCTCGACCACCAGCCTGCAGAGCAACTGCATGGCCAGCAAGATTGACCACGGGACTTCCAGAACTACCACCACTGGCTGCAGCGGCGGCCTGGATGTAGTTCGTGTTGAAATCACAGTAGCCCTCTCCATATTCAGGCGCATTTCGGTCTAGTCGACTGATCACGCCAGACAGAATGCTCAGCTTTTCTCCAGCATCGTTACCCACGACACGGATTTCTGTGCCAACTCGCGCTCCATCCGGCTGGAGCTTGAGTTCACTGACTGCCATATATCTGATTTTCGCAGGGTCGAACTTTAGGATACCGAAATCATGGACGGGGTCTCGGTATACAGGCTGGACATCGCACTATGATTCAACACTTATGTTAGTAACCAGGAAAGGGCTTTGACCGGACCATAGCGCAGGATATAATTACTTCTTCGTGGTTGTCAAATATACAGTATCCCCAGAAAGGACCCGCACCGACAACATGGCGATTGGTCAATATATAGCCACGCTCTGCATCCACCACGAAGCCAGTGGCTTGACTGGACATAGACAGCTCTGTATCGAACGAACAAGTCTGACAGAAGTGAATGGAGACAGCACATTTCACAACCTTCTCGATGGTGGCCTGCCATTCAGGCGAGTCCGTTGTAGCGGGGATGACAGCTGGCGAGGGAGCTTCATCCATGTCCTCTTCGATCTCATAAACAGTTCCGTTGGCAGGCGTGGCGTCATCGGGAGTCAAGACCGCGGGCTGAGGTCTGAGTTGTTTGTTGGGATGCTCGGAATTAGTGGCCGCCGTGCTGCGCTTTCGCTTTGCACCTATGTCGCTTTTGCCATCCATAGTGAAGAAATCTGAGTTTCGGAGGTGGTGTAGACGGGGTTTTAGGTTGTTGGCAAGAGACGAGATCGTCCGGGAGCCTCTTGAGGCTGACGGGGCAGCAGAGAATGAAGTATAAGACGATTGGAGCGCTTGAAGATGCGGGCGATGCGGAGTTAAGGAATGTGACGCAGATGACCGATCAGCGGCTGAAGACAAAGGAGTGCAGGTTTGGTTTGAAGTTCGATAAAACGACAAAGGCAAGTTGGGGACGATTTGCAAGCTCCTTCTGCATACAACCGGCAATGAACAATACATCCACTAAACAATTGAGGAAAATGCGTACGCGCCTTGATATCGAGGCAAAACGTCAACCCTCAAACACAAGTCCTAAAGGCGGCGAAGTTGTATTGCCATATGATTGGCGGAGGGCTTTGCTTGGCACGTGATGTTTACGGACGACGTGAGGTGCCACTTTCACATCTCTGGATTATTGCCGGCAAAAAATTAGACCTTACACCAACGCCTATACATGTCTTATTATCTTTCTGTATGTTCCGACAGGTAGGAGTCATTACTGGGATCAATATTATAGCACGTCAATTCCCGTATCTAGAATTGATACATGCTTCGGGTTGGAAATAGGAGATTGGCCAGGCTTGAAGAAGGCGGAGAGAAAAG